GATAGGACAATATTTGGTCGAGATACAACTATTGAAATTCTGGAATCTGAGGGTGCAAAAAAATCTAAATATTGAGAAAATCATCTTTAAAGTTTTCCAAATGAAGTTCTTAGCAATGCATATTACTAATCAAAAATTAAGTTTTAATATATTTACAGTAGGAAATTTACAAAATATCTTCATGGAACATGATCTTTACTTAATATCCTAATGATTTTTGGCATAAAAGAAAAATCGATAATTTTGACCCATACAATGTATTTTTGGCTATTGCTACAAATATACCCAAGCGACTTAAGTTTTGTGGTTGAAGGTAATATTGTAATTGTTCATGAAATTTACAAGTGAAGTTAATAGTGAGACTTAACCTCCAAAATAAAGTGTTACCAAAATTTGATTTTTAAACCAGTGGATGTGTATTTTTGGTCTGAAGGTAATAAACGCTGCAATCAGAACATGAAAGATGATGATGTTGATGCTCAGTTTGTGTTTAGAAGATTGTACAAACATGTACAAACAGACGTACAGGAATAAGAAATTTTTTGATCTCCTCTAGAGCGTGACCCATTCTCGCATACGCTTCAGCGGGCGGCGCGAACACCTCGATCAGCACGTGAAGATCTTCGTTAAGGTGATGATACTTTGTCTCTCCACTCTTTCGCAGTTCTTCTTCCTGTTAACAAAAGTGTATGAAAAAAGAAACATGTACACATTTGCAAGCATTTGCTATACCAGTTGAGGTACAGGAACTAAAATATATTTTTTTAATTAATTAATACAAATTATATATATATATATACAATTACTTAAAAAAAATAAAAAATAATAATAATTTGAAAAGAGACAATGTTGACCTTTTTCCACCTTTGAAATATCACGTTCAGGACACAGAGGATGTAAATAAATAAGCTAAATTAATAAACCGTCCCATAGTAATTATGCCATGCATATTCAATTCAATTAAAATGTAAATTCCATATGCAAACACATTAACACTGGGCAGCGAGTGGGGGGGCTTGTATGCAGCACTGTTAGCTGGCGCAAAGCAAAAGAGCAATTTAACAGGAACCGTGAGACAGAAACATGGCAAAGAATTACATCAGCCCACCCGTCAGATGCACAGATGATGCCGCTTTATTTTAAAAGCAGGGTGAGATTTTCATTCAGCACGGCTTTTAGCTGCACAGCAAAGTGTGCTGTTATGTGTGTGCTTGTCTCCTGTGCTTCCTCTGATGTCATGCAGTTAATCTGCTCTCTTTAAAACAGTCACAGTTATGCAAATGAGATGCTAATTTCATCCACAAATCTGCTGTTTACTGAAAGAGGTCAGCTTAGTACAGATATGCTGAGGTAACGGAGCGTGTGTGTATGAAACGGCAGTAAGCATGGGCTTATCAACTAATGGCCAAAAAATCAACTAGCGAGGTTGACATTTACGGTACTATTTTTATTTGTTTTTAAGTTCCATTCATTCTCTTTAAAGCATTATTTTAATTGCACTGTTTTGTGGAGTGTTATGCTTCATTTTTAAAAATGCTAATAAAAAGGGCCTCTTTTAAAAAAGGATCTTAAACATTATTTAATGAAATAATCATTTAATTAAACATTATCTAAATATTATTCATTTTAGAGGCAGAGCAAGTTGTTAATTTGTTAATTTGTTTTTAATAATATGCACTGATGAATCTTTTAAAATAAAAAAGGAACCTGTCTAAAGAAAGTAAAAGTATCAGTTTCGATTTTCTAAATAATTGTCATATTTGTATAGGACTGTATACAATTTTGAGAAAACTATGGAAGCTTGTTTCCACCACTGAATTTTAAATGAATGAATGAATGAATGAATCTGCAAATTGTGCACATTTCTGATAAAAAAAAGTCAGAATTGTGAGATCAAAAAGTCGCAAGTACCTTCTTAATTTCTTATTATGTGGCGGAAATAAAAAAACAGAATTGCAAGATGTAATCAAAATTCCGAAAAAAATCCGAATCAAAATTCAGAGCAAAAAAGTCAGAACTGTGAGATTAAAAAGTCGCAAATTACCTTTTTGGATTTTTATTCAATGGTGGGGGAAAAAAAATAAAAAATTTCAAAGAATTCAAAGAAAAAAAATTCTGAATTGCAAGATATTAACTCTGCTGCAAAAAAATAACAGAATTGCAAGATGTAAAAACAAAAAGTTAGAATTGTGAGATTAAAGAGTCACAAATTTCTTACATTTTTTTATTTTTTATTCCATGGCGGAAAATAATAATAATAATAATAATAATAATAATAAATGTGAGATGTAAACAAGAAAAAAGTCAAAATAGCGAGATGAACGTAAACTCAGAATTCAGAGAAAAAAAAAATGTCAGAATTGCAAGATTTAAACTCAGAATTATGAGAAAAAAGTCAAATTGCAAGATTTAAACGCAGAATTATGAGGAAAAAAAGTCAAATTGCAAGATTTAAACTCAGAATTATGAAAAAAGTCAAATTGAAAGATTTAAACTCAGAATTATGAGAAAAAAAGTCAAATTGCAAGATTTAAACTCAGAATTATGAGAAAAAAAGTCAAATTGCAAGATTTAAACTCAGAATTATGAGAAAAAAATGTCAAATTGAAAGATTTAAACTGAGACTTATGAGAAAAAAAGTCAAAATTGCAAGATTATGAGGAAAAAATTCAAAATTGTGAAACAAATTCAGGGAAAAAAAGTCCGAATTTTAAAATAAAAATTCTCAATTACCATTTTTTTTTTTTATTCTGTGGGAAAAAACAAGCTTCCATGCAAAACAATATTATGAGGACAAATTGAAAGATTTAAACTCAGAATTATGAAAAAAGTCAAATTGAAAGATTTAAACTCATTAAACTCAGAAAAAGTCAAAATTGCAAGATTTAAAATCAGAATTATGAGAAAAAAAATTCAAATTGCAAGGTTTAAACTCAGAATTATGAGAAAAAAAAATCTAATTGAAAGATTTAAACTCAGAATTATGAGAAAAAAATGTCAAATTGAAAGATTTAAACTGAGACTTATGAGAAAAAAAGTCAAAATTGCAAGATTTAAAATCAGAATTATGAGAAAAAAAATTCAAATTGCAAGGTTTAAACTCAGAATTATGAGAAAAAAAAATCTAATTGAAAGATTTAAACTCAGAATTATGAGAAAAAAATGTCAAATTGAAAGATTTAAACTGAGACTTATGAGAAAAAAAGTCAAAATTGCAAGATTTAAAATCAGAATTATGAGAAAAAAAATTCAAATTGCAAGGTTTAAACTCAGAATTATGAGAAAAAAATGTCAAATTGAAAGATTTAAACTGAGACTTATGAGAAAAAAAGTCAAAATTGCAAGATTTAAAATCAGAATTATGAGAAAAAAAATTCAAATTGCAAGGTTTAAACTCAGAATTATGAGAAAAAAATGTCAAATTGAAAGATTTAAACTGAGACTTATGAGAAAAAAAGTCAAAATTGCAAGATTTAAAATCAGAATTATGAGAAAAAAAATTCAAATTGCAAGGTTTAAACTCAGAATTATGAGAAAAAAATGTCAAATTGAAAGATTTAAACTGAGACTTATGAGAAAAAAAGTCAAAATTGCAAGATTTAAAATCAGAATTATGAGAAAAAAAATTCAAATTGCAAGGTTTAAACTCAGAATTATGAGAAAAAAATGTCAAATTGAAAGATTTAAACTGAGACTTATGAGAAAAAAAGTCAAAATTGCAAGATTTAAAATCAGAATTATGAGAAAAAAAATTCAAATTGCAAGGTTTAAACTCAGAATTATGAGAAAAAAATGTCAAATTGAAAGATTTAAACTGAGACTTATGAGAAAAAAAGTCAAAATTGCAAGATTTAAAATCAGAATTATGAGAAAAAAAATTCAAATTGCAAGGTTTAAACTCAGAATTATGAGAAAAAAATGTCAAATTGAAAGATTTAAACTGAGACTTATGAGAAAAAAAGTCAAAATTGCAAGATTTAAAATCAGAATTATGAGAAAAAAAATTCAAATTGCAAGGTTTAAACTCAGAATTATGAGAAAAAAATGTCAAATTGAAAGATTTAAACTGAGACTTATGAGAAAAAAAGTCAAAATTGCAAGATTTAAAATCAGAATTATGAGAAAAAAAATTCAAATTGCAAGGTTTAAACTCAGAATTATGAGAAAAAAATGTCAAATTGAAAGATTTAAACTGAGACTTATGAGAAAAAAAGTCAAAATTGCAAGATTTAAAATCAGAATTATGAGAAAAAAAATTCAAATTGCAAGGTTTAAACTCAGAATTATGAGAAAAAAATGTCAAATTGAAAGATTTAAACTGAGACTTATGAGAAAAAAAGTCAAAATTGCAAGATTTAAAATCAGAATTATGAGAAAAAAAATTCAAATTGCAAGGTTTAAACTCAGAATTATGAGAAAAAAATGTCAAATTGAAAGATTTAAACTGAGACTTATGAGAAAAAAAGTCAAAATTGCAAGATTTAAAATCAGAATTATGAGAAAAAAAATTCAAATTGCAAGGTTTAAACTCAGAATTATGAGAAAAAAATGTCAAATTGAAAGATTTAAACTGAGACTTATGAGAAAAAAAGTCAAAATTGCAAGATTTAAAATCAGAATTATGAGAAAAAAAATTCAAATTGCAAGGTTTAAACTCAGAATTATGAGAAAAAAATGTCAAATTGAAAGATTTAAACTGAGACTTATGAGAAAAAAAGTCAAAATTGCAAGATTTAAAATCAGAATTATGAGAAAAAAAATTCAAATTGCAAGGTTTAAACTCAGAATTATGAGAAAAAAATGTCAAATTGAAAGATTTAAACTGAGACTTATGAGAAAAAAAGTCAAAATTGCAAGATTTAAAATCAGAATTATGAGAAAAAAAATTCAAATTGCAAGGTTTAAACTCAGAATTATGAGAAAAAAATGTCAAATTGAAAGATTTAAACTGAGACTTATGAGAAAAAAAGTCAAAATTGCAAGATTTAAAATCAGAATTATGAGAAAAAAAATTCAAATTGCAAGGTTTAAACTCAGAATTATGAGAAAAAAATGTCAAATTGAAAGATTTAAACTGAGACTTATGAGAAAAAAAGTCAAAATTGCAAGATTTAAAATCAGAATTATGAGAAAAAAAATTCAAATTGCAAGGTTTAAACTCAGAATTATGAGAAAAAAATGTCAAATTGAAAGATTTAAACTGAGACTTATGAGAAAAAAAGTCAAAATTGCAAGATTTAAAATCAGAATTATGAGAAAAAAAATTCAAATTGCAAGGTTTAAACTCAGAATTATGAGAAAAAAATGTCAAATTGAAAGATTTAAACTGAGACTTATGAGAAAAAAAGTCAAAATTGCAAGATTTAAAATCAGAATTATGAGAAAAAAAATTCAAATTGCAAGGTTTAAACTCAGAATTATGAGAAAAAAATGTCAAATTGAAAGATTTAAACTGAGACTTATGAGAAAAAAAGTCAAAATTGCAAGATTTAAAATCAGAATTATGAGAAAAAAAATTCAAATTGCAAGGTTTAAACTCAGAATTATGAGAAAAAAATGTCAAATTGAAAGATTTAAACTGAGACTTATGAGAAAAAAAGTCAAAATTGCAAGATTTAAAATCAGAATTATGAGAAAAAAAATTCAAATTGATCTTATCTATGCACAATCAGCTTGTAACACTCCAAAGAGACAGGAAAACTTGAAATCGCATCATATGACCCCTTTAAAAGAATTATGAGGAAAAAAGTCAAAATTGTGAAACAAACTCAGAATTCAGGGAAAAAAAGTCAGAATTTTAAAATAAAAATTCTCAATTACCATTTTTTTTTTTTATTCTGTGGGAAAAAACAAGCTTCCATGCAAAACAATGTTTGCAAGAGCATATTTTCCACATTCACCGGTGAACGCACACATATATGTGACGTTTTCTAAACTGCTTCCAAAAACAAGCTCTTGTGGGGTTTGGGGCGTGTATGTTTACTATCAACATCGTTTGGTAAATTCTGTGAAATTCGTTTCTGCAAATTCTAGTACATCAAAGACAATTATGAACTTTAAGCAAATCTCTCCACTCTGCTGTGGGACGGAGCTGCAGGAGAATCTCCAAACAGCTTAAAACTGTGCAGGTGAGCGTTCCAGATCCAAACCGGCCAATTTGCGGTGCACAATTCCCCCTCTCTCTCGCTTTTCTCCACAGAGAGCTTGTTCACCAAAATCTGACAGGACCGGAGGAGTGCAGCAGTCAATAACAACACGCCCAATTAGTAGATAAAACCTTCCAGAACACCCTGAGCTCTGGAACAGCTGTCTGAAGGGAGAAGATTGCTCTTGTGAACGCTGAATGTAATTGCGGCACGCTTATACATGAACATATCAAAATCACCTGCGGCTGAGCTGTTCAGAAACGGCCAGAAACCAGAGCTACATGCACACAATCTGCTTGGGGAAAATGTCAATAATTGAAAGGATACATATCATGGATTTTCCTGAACCTTTTAAAATAAATATTGCATGCAACAAGTTAGCCAATTAGAGCCACCTAATTAAAGGTACAGTAGCAAAAACATCCTGTTTTAAAAGTAAGGAGAGAAATAAGGTAATTTTTTTCCCCTAAAGAAATTGATACTTTTACTCAGCAAGGAACCATTAAATTCATCAAAATTGACAGTAAATAATTTATAATACTTTAAAAGATTTCTACTTCATATAAATGCTGTTCTACTGAACTTTCTATTCATCAAAAAATCCTGAACAAAATAAATCATTGTTTTCAAAATTAATAACAATGTTTCAAATCAGCGTATTGGAATGATTTCTGTAGGATGACACTGTGTGACACTTAAGACTGGAGTAATAATGCTGAAAATTCAGCATTCCATCACAGGAATAAATTATATTTTAAAATATATTCAAATAGAAAACAGTTATTTTAAATTATAATATTATTTTATAATAATAAAATATAATATTAACAGCTGAACCCAAGCCTCCGTTACTAATTCGAAAATGTCACTTTAGAACTAGTAACGAAGGAACGTTGAGTTGCTTTATTGAAAGCTTATTGTATTACTATATTAAACGCTCTCTGTATTATATGTAGAATATTATGAGAGAGAGATGAACTGAGCGAGTGTGATTACCTGCATCTGATACAGCATTCATTCTTTAGCTCAATCTCATATTCACAATAAAACATTAGTTTGAATGTCCGCTGAGGAAAGCGATATCTGTTGTACTGTCCTTTCATCTGTTAAGGGTGATTTCTGATGACAGCGCTGCTCAGTGCATTTGTTAACTGCGTCTTACAAGCTGTTATTAAAAGTAAAAATAACTTCCGTTTCAGTCTCTTTCAATATAAAAGTATTTTCTGCTGACTCATAAAACAGTCTTTTAAAACAGTACAAAGGCAGCGCTCTAATATACAGCATTAAAGTTACATAAAATATAACGTGTAGTATTTATTTAATAATAAACAACAACAACAGCCATCATAAAAGTTGATCATCATCATCAAAAGTACAAAGGCAGCGCTCTAATATACAGCATTAAAGTTACATAAAATATAACGTGATGAGATTTTGCCCTCAGCCAAAACTATTTGCTTATGCGTATGTTTTCTGTAGTAAGTGCTAGGCTAGGTTCATGAGTAGGGTTGGAAACCCTATGTAACCGGTATGTACTAGAACCAAATCAGAACGCAGATTCCGGTGCCTCATTTCGGTACCACTTAAATGCCTGAGCAATCGATTGAGATATTTGTCCTGGTTCTCCGAAATGGACGTAAGAAGCATTGGTGTCGCTAGGCCATTTTTAGCGGGGCTATAGAGATTAGCTCCATAAACTGTACACAAATTCGTGATCGTCTCAGAGTCAGACCCCCCATATGAAAACGGAATCGATTTGGCACCGGTATCATAAAAAACCCAATCGATACCCAACCCTATTCATGAGCGCTGAACAGCCGCTGACACCCTGGAGCTCATTTCTCCGAAAACGTCGAAGCAAATTTTCAAATAGACGTTATCTTTATTAACAAACCGCATAGTTGAAGTCTAAACAAATACATTCTCGCCTAAAAAACTCTCAAAACTACATTCCATGAAACAAAAACAGTATTACTTTTGAATTTTAGTGGATTTGGGTGTCCGCCATGACA